ACTAGGCCATTAGCACTGATGAGACTGCCGAGATAAGTGAAGCGGTCGACACGCTCAACTACTTCACTCCCTATCACTAGTTCAGGTGCTGACGCAACCCCATCCTGAAGCAACCATTTGCGTTTCGGGCAGTGAAACCGCATCCCTAACATGCTTGCATTGTTGCTTAGGGTGGTCAAAAGACTGCATTTTGTCAGCGTCTTCACCAGGTGGAACTATGTGATTGGCATATTCTAAGTTAACTAGTGAATCTCCTGGTAGAAGGTCCACTTCTGAAAAGTCAGACGAGGATAAGGTTATTTCTAAGAGCATGTCTATGATAAAATTAAACAAGAATGGAGAGAGTGGACATCCCTGACGGACACCACTTGAAGTAAAGAATTCTGGTGACAGTTCGCCATAAGCTCTCGCCCGATCTGTAGTGTTCGAGTAGAGAGCTTGTATAAGGTTAATGTAATTCGTTGGTACACCTTACAATGACAGACACTGCCACAGAACCTCACGCATAACGGAGTCAAATGCTACTTCGTGGTTCAGGAAGAAAACTATTGTTGGATGCTTAAATATGTGTCTGTATTCCCGGACCTGTCGTAGTGTGAAGATGTGGTCAATACACCCACGCCCAGGTCTAAAATTAGCCTGGTTTTCTCGAGTCTGCTCTTCACGAGCTCTAGTATAATCAAGGCCAACAATTTAGAAACTATATCAGTTAGACTTATTTCCCTGTGACTGTCACAAGAAGACAATTGTCCTTTCTTATAAATTGCAACAATCAAGAATTGAAACCAGTCAGATAGGATTGTGTCCAGCTCCCAGATTCTACCTAAGATCTCGGTCAACCTAGCTGCTAAAATTGGACCACCATCCTTAAAAATCCCAAGGGTCAAACTATCGGGTCCTGCTGCTCTCCCTCGCTTCAGATTTCCTATAGCCTTTTCAACTTCATAAAGACTCAGAGGACTTATATCGATGTACGATTCAAGATGACTGGAGATCATAGGTAACTGAAGGCCAGCTGAACTCGTCCGTGAAGTGTTGTGCCTATCGATCCAATCTCCTGGATTGAGAATGAATAATAGGACCATCCTTTTCCGAAATAGTCTCACTCACATTCGGATTCCTATTACCAGTTTCCTTGAAAGTCGGAACAACTGTTTAATGTTATCTATTGCCTCTGCCTTTTCCCTCGCTCTCGCTATCTACCACTGTACGCGATCATTGCGTAGGCTTTTTATTGGCCTGCGCTTAAGCTGTCTTCACCCTTCGTCATGTTCAGCGCCAGGTGGAATGAGTTTACGAGCGTCTCTCAAATCGGTGAATGCTGCTGATATCCATTGTTCCTTCTAAGCCTTATGATTTACCTTGCTAGCAGATATCATTGTCGTTTCCACAGCCTTTTTTATATCTTTCCAAGTAGCTCTTGATAAGTATCACTTACATGGTCGCCTCACTGTCTTTCTAGTTGCTTCTGTAATATAATATTAGTTGTGCTATCATTGAGTAAAAACTTAAGAGGTTTCCTTGCGGTGTATTTCCTACGTCCAGTAAGCCTCAAACAAATACGAGCTCGCACTAGAGCATGATCAGAATCTAGACATGTACGCCAGAACAAGCGACAGTCTTCTACCAAACCTTCCCATCGGTGGCTGATGGCAGTGTGATCTAGTTGTTTCCAACTTCGGGAGTCGCCAGGTCAAAAGATGTTTTTCTTTGTGTCTAAAGTTACTGCTTGCTAGAAATAGACGATTATTTGAGCACAGTTGCAACAGACGGTCGCCACTGTCTGTTCTGGAGCCGCGATACTATTAGATCCACACAGGTATCTTTCATTATCACTCATCCTACCTACTTGATCATTGAATTCACCATTCATCATTACTATATCAGAGCACCGAACGTTTTGGAGGAGGTTTGAAAGCTTTCTGAAAAACCCACCCGTCAGTGGGAGCGGAGGCAGATATGTCGAAGAGGCGAAGGCCAGTGTCCGTATCTCTTCGAGTCCTTACTGTCCCGTCCCATCTGCAGTCAGCAATATGACTTCGCCCTCAGAACTCGAGTAGCTGCTTTTAGTCTAATCGTTCTCCAATCGACCTACCTTGCATGGTAGAACCTTCTAAAACACATGTTCTAGCTCGATCGGGTCTTAAGAAAAGGCAATGGTCGCCATACAAGTCAATTGATCCAACAGTGCGAGATAAGGAAGGCTGAAAAAAATCAGTTATAGGTCTGTTTGAGTTCAAACAAATTAATTACGTCGAAATTCGAACATTCTGTCTGCAGTTCCTAGTCTTTAGCACGAATACATTTCATCTCGTTCTGCTTGAATATCAAATTTTTGGAAGACATGAGCAATAGTTGTGTGGCATCGGTCACGAAGATTATGTATGTACGGTATATGTTGTTGGGTTTCGCGTGCCGACAGGTATGTTTGTGCCTCTACCCGTATGCGTGGTTCATGCTCGAAAAGTGAAATATCAAGTGAGAATTCTGTGAACCTGTACGCTGATGCTCAGTAGGCTGCGCGATATTGAAGTGGTTCATCATCCAGAAATTCGGATGACAACTTACTGATAAACGATTGTAGCAGGACTTTGATAGTCCCGTCACCTTACTCACGCCTGTTGGTCCTAATGAACCATAGGTTGCTGATCAGCATTCGCCAACCTGCTCTGTTCTGCACTTTCCTTTCCAGTCCCACCGATCGCTCTTCATTCTCCCTATTTATGCTTTCGATCCTTCAGTCGTCCTCTTTTCCCTAGGCCTCGTGGGTTACATGTGGAGACTTGATTTGTATCGTAGTCCGGTTAATTACACTGATTTTTGAGGACACTGAAATGGAGGTGCTGCTCATCGGTGCACTTATGACCTGGATTTCTATAGTCACATAATCGTCGTAAAAACGTTTGTTATTTCTCAACGAACTTCCTTAAATATCTAGGAAATATCAGAGGGTTTTACCAGTTTGTATCACACTAATATATGCTTGAAAATCCATGTCCATGAGCTTTGAGCACTCATGAATTTATCACGGAAATGATCCAGTTCTAGTATTCGCACTCAGAGTTGCAGTTTAGGGGCTGAACGCAATCGTATTTGGTCAATCTAAAAAGCTGATTGGTCCAGTTTTAAAAACAGATACATCCCCCTGTGATGGCAAGGGATCAACTAGATCGAACAACGAATTTCATAGCCACTAAAGCATATGCACAAGCCCAAAAAGACCAGGTAGATATTATAAGTAACCATACACGAATGAACCAAATATTTCCTGTGCTGAAACACTAGCTGTTGTCCTATTCGAAGCCTACATCCAACCTCATAGAAGTTTCATGCCACATCGACTATCTGTAAGCTTTTCGATAAGCGGTTAAGACAAGACAATTGCGAATTCGGTCTTAGTCCTGCCACGTTGTCCGATAACCTCCATCGTTCAAGCAGTGAAAGTGATGCCATCATGGTGATGTATGATATAGGACGAATATTCTATGTCATCACGCTGTTGCAACCATATGCCAGTTGGAATAGTTTCGAAACCTGCTTGGGTAAAGTAAGGTTATATAGCCTTTGCTATTAATTCTTTGTACAGTATTCGCACACTAAATATATAATATCGGCATGTAAAAGGAACAAGCTTGACACAACTCAACTCTCAAATATTATCTCATTAGATATGTTCCCGATTCCCCAGCTTTGGGACGAATTCGATCGATTATGAGGCTCCGAGATAAATTTTGATGACTGCAACCGTGATAAATAATCTGAGAAATTGTCGCTACAGAAGTTTCATTGTGTAAAGCAATGATACTCTTCATGTGATTAAACAATTAACAGACCCGAAATTTTATAAACTGTAATTATGTGAAATAAGCGACAACATTCACTCTGAGCTGAATATCTGAAAAGCCTGATAATCACTGCAAACTTTAGTTGGTGTTTCAGCTTTACTCTTTTTAAATCCAATATTTAAAACATGGGAAATCTCCCGGCTTGAACAAAATTAGACCATAACACTATATACAGAACAATTACAACGAAAGAGGCTAGTACGAACTAAAGAATGAGCCAAGCAAACAGCCTTCCTAGAAGGATCCAAACTTCAGTAAGAATGCTGATAGTACACAAGGACATCTTAATGTGGTTAAAATAATTATAAGCACTGAATTTCAGTGCAATAAACAATTAGTAGTTTAATAGTAAAATGAAATAACAAATAAACCTACCAATTCAGAAAAAAGTACCTTAAATGCTTGTCATATAATCAGTCTAATAATAAACAACCAAAATTGTGTAAATTTAGTCAAATCACAGTTATTAAAAAATAAACGTCACTATGTATCATGTATAAATCCGGTAACAAACAATTTTTAGATCTATAAAAAATGCAGCAAAAACTAATTCATTAAGAGGTGTAACACTGAGGATGCGAGGCCAACCATTGTGTTATTCTGTGTTATAATGATTAGGCAATATCACACAAACCGTACATCTTTTGGTTCCCTCGATCTTGCATCACTGCTGAATAAAAGTGTCCTCTAGAAATAGTTTTCAGGTTTCCATTAACGACATCATTTAGTTATTAAAAAAATAAACTGGTCGAACAGAAAGAGAAGTCCTAAGTAAGACGGTATAGTACATTTTGGAACTAAAGAAGATCCCACTACATACGATTAGTTTAAATTCTAGAATATTATTTCTCTTTCAACAGTAAAACTATGAATAAAGAGATTTTCAGTTGGTTGTCAAGGCGCCAAAAGTTTGATAGATTGAGATACAATTGGACTATGATAAAAACGAATCCATACTGTCGTTGTTCTGTTTTAATTAAAAGTGTGATAAGGGATGATATTTTTGCATAAACATTTGTTATATAACCAATGAGACCTGACATAAATTTATTGTGTAAAAATCAACTATGATTGACCACTTGAATAACTTCATTTCGGTAATTAAGACAGCATCGATTGCATGAATTCTTAAACTATAATATATTGTAAATGATCATTTAAGGCAGATAACAAGTGACCTAGTGTCAAATTAGTTTTTCAACTCACTATGTACAGTTAATTAATCAATAGTGAACTTGTAAAATATTTGTTTACACATAACTTCAGTCTATAATCTTGAAACAATTCAAATTATATGCCATTTTCATAAAAATTGCGACTGAATATAAACGGTTGCACGAACATGCGGATGCAGATTAACATGGTTCTCAATCCCAAAAATGTAATTTGATAGGATATGTAGGATGCAGCGTAATAAGTTATATGCTAACCAGCACTAGAACTCTTAATAAATTTGAAGCCTTTATAAAAGCAATACGTAACCTAAATTTAAAAAAAACGAACAATTAAAATATGAAAACATTCCAAGATCAAATTCACTGTTAATCACATTTTTAGATAAGTTAACACTTATTAACTAATCTGTTAAATTGTAAAATAAAGTAGGGTATACTAATAAGAAATAAGCTAAGATTAGTAGAACACTAATTATTCAGTCTATATGTTTCCATTACTAAATATACGTACCCAAGGAGAAAAATAGTACTAACAACAGTAACAGTAACAAAAGACTAGGTGAGGATTCTCAAGAAGAATTATACGAATGCACAATTGTTACAACCAATTGATAGCGATTTTCGTATCAAAAAGTCGACCAATCCAACAGAAGTACTCTACATAGACTATGAAGAAAGAAACCAAATTTTCATAACACTCTTGCAACTAGCGTCTTTAATGTTGTAGAAAATTTAGCAGTAAAAGTGAAACAAAACAGGAAAAATCAACAGGCTGAATGAATATGCAAGACTCAACTACACAGAATTATTGTGGAAAGACAGATGGGCGTCTAGAAGAGAAGTATATGTACACATTCAATGCTATATTCTACAAAATTTGAGTGTCGTGCGAAAACAATTGTAAAATACAGTGTATTTGTTTCATCAAGATATTGTGGAATAAGAATACAAAATATTTCACATAAATCTAAATGAAAACTAAAGTAAATTGATTTGAGTGAAGTAACGAAAAAGATTGTATGCAAAGAAAAGAGAAATCTGTAATATAATTTATAGCCGTTGAGGTGATGTAATTTGGATTAACAATATATATAACGGGAATAACTGTAACAAGTGTAGTATACAACAAGAAAACGATCACCAAACGGAAGGACTAAAAATTACATTTTTCTTCTTTTAATAAAATTCTGAGATAATGCCTGGAAGTGGCTCAAATTAAACAACAGTTTCAATCCTCAAAAAATATTTAGGTCTTTCCAATAGAGATTAATTACCAACAAAACATGTTATAAGATCTAAAGACAAGTAATGAAAACTTATTATGATTGAAGAATGTATGGTGTTGATCACTTTCCAAACAAATCTGACAAGAATAAAACCAAAAACTTCTGTTAAGTAGAAGGCGCAACTGTGTTTAATTATGCAGGATTCGGATTAGAAGCAATGGGCACTGGTTTTAATTCTCGAATTTGTTTGATTAAATACTGTTTCTCATCATTGAATTGACCATCATCCGTACGTTCATTTTGAAAATCTGTTAGAAAGGACAGCAATTTTTCCTGATTACGAAAGAGAATTATATGAACAGCTGGTGGTTTGTTTGGATTTGCAACAAATACCTGTGAAAATAAAGACTGTAAATTATGCAATGCTAGTATTGATATAAAAGCTTAGATTTTTTTAAAAAAAAGCAAGCAATATCATTTATTTTCGCTTAATTAATGAATCTGATTACACTATGCATTATTATTCAGCAACTTTTTTGAAAATATTAGTGCTGAGTCTGTTGCTAAACCGGTTTTTTCACCAAACTGCCAGTTTAAAAAATGGAATTGGTATTACACAAGAAGAAGTAAACGTATGATCAACAGGAATTACAGTAGAAAATATGTAATTTAGGAATAATTTATATTGTTCCCCAGCAAAAGTTTCTGCTATGTGGAAAATCTAGGAAAAAAATTCCCATCAATCGAATTTTTGTTGAATCGCTGTTGGATTAGTTTCATGACATATTACCTTCGGGCAGATTTAATTACGCTTTTCTTTCTAAATCTATGCAGAATCGCATTTGCAGACTGCGTTGTGTCAATAGTGGTGTTCTCTACATTGAAAAGTCTTCTCGTGACAAGCATAAGTAACATAAAAAGACCTGATGATCCTGTACAATTGGAAAAGCTATCAGTCAAATTGGCCAAAACAATACAAGCCAACTTCAATAATCACCAGATCGATAAAATAGATATCAGGATAATCCAGAAAGGCTTTTCCGATCATAAAGAAAGACTGGTAGCTGAAGTGCTTCATGTAATCCTATTTCCCTCTGTTGTCAGTAAAAAGGAAACTCTGACTATCCATTCAACTTGAACGATTTATCCAAACAACTCCATTCAATTCTACTCATTTCTCACACCAACAATACACATACAATTGCACAAATTTCAACTCTACCGCACCGCCAGCACACATGTCATGGTGTCACACACAGAACCACTTTAACCAAAAACGACATGACTACCATAATCAAACCTACTTTGAATGTTTTTCTGAGATAAATGTTTCTGATTTATTTCCCCTCTGAAGAAGTAACGTAAGCTACGTTGGAAAACGTCAGGGATTTGAATCTCTACTTGTTGGGATATTACAAATGTATCCTTATTTTATCAATAATATGATTATTTGCTTGTGATAACAAACGAAATTTTTGAAAAACAAAATCACTGCATAAACGTTTAGCTACTACTGGATAATCAAAGTGGGGCATACACACACACACACACACGTTTTTGTTCATTCACATGGTGACACACAATCAAATAATAAAAAAATTTAAATTACAAACACAAATGACAGAATTTAACTATCCACTCATATGTAGATGTACTTTTTCAGATGAACAAAAAAATAGAAACATGTGAAATCTTAATGAACATCGGGGGTTCGAAAGGGATGATTTTTAAAATAATGTCACACAATAAATCAATTTAACAGTACATAACATGATTCTATCATAGACTGAAAGGTGAATCGCAACTTTAGTGAAATTCTACATTTAAACGAGAAAATCAATTCGACAGAAAAATAAATTTTGTATGCATATAAAATTAATCATGGTGATGATTTATCGTTAGTTTTGAATAGTGCCGACAACAGATAACTCTGCTGATATGGTCAACAAATTACTTTTAATGTAGACAAATGAACTTAATTACGATGCTATGCGGAATTATTCACTTACTTAAAATAAACTAATATCTCGTCTTCTGTGCTTTTAGATAGTAAACAACGTTTATTAGTCAATATGGCGATTGGCTAAGATTAGTCAATTAACCAGGTTGCAGTAATCAGTCTTTAATCATTGAATTAAACTGGTAAGATATCCAAGATTCAAGTTTAGTAAGAATAAGCAGTAATCAGAGACAACAAAGGAACTAGGGTCCTCTGTTAGTTAGAAGCTTAGAAGCCATGATATTGACTGTAGAACTTCTCATAAGAGTGACTGGTGTATACTAATTCATAAACCCATAATTTGATAATTCAGGTGTTAAACGATGTAATATTCAACTGTGAGACGCAAATCATGCAAATCTATGTACATGTTTGATTGTTCAGAGCAAAAAATACGTCCAGTTCATTTCTTTTAGAATTAGTAGTTTAATTGAAGACAAATACAACCCTTACAAACGATACGGGTGATTACTTCTTGTCAGGTAAGTAGGGAAATTTCCAAATCAGAAATTCGTGCTCAACAAATGTGAATATTTAGTTCTTTTGGAAATTTTGACAAAAGTTAATCATTACTATAAAACTCGATGGTTTTCAACACCACAGGAAATTGTAACAACTCCAACATAGGAAATTTATAAAGCATTAAAGTATGTGGGAATTCTCATCTATAACTTGCTTTAGATGGCTCCCATCTAAACACCGATTGGATAAACCTTTCTTGGGGTTTTCTAGGCAACTGTAAACGTTGATGAGGAATATTTTGAGACTCCTCAACGGAGCATACTAATCATTTAAACTTATATTTACTTTGAATTTTTAACCCTACAGATAATTAGCGGACAAGACATTGCATTATTAACCAGTAATGGATAATATTAGGCTAAAAGACCAACTAATAGAATTACTTTGCATAAATATTCATTTGTTTTGGATGATATATATTACTGAGTCCGCAGAGTTGTGAATTAATTAACTAACAAACACCTACGCAGTGCACTTTGAACAGTCTGGTCACATACACTTGTTAAGACATTATACATGAAAAATATAAAAGGCCAACTAGACAAATTAAAAGGTTAAGGAAACAAAATAGTAATAATAATAATAACAATAATAAAGTACACAAGCAATTTTCGAACACGTAACAATGATTTTCAATTTTCGCATAGCCAAGGCTTCTTTCTATAAACCACAGTATACGCTCTTAAATACTTATGTATAACATTACAAAGGTTGAACTGCTATCAACCTTATGACCAGTCTTAAACAAATTTTTGGCAATGGAGGATGATACGTGTACATCTTGTGGTCTCATTTGACCGAGTATATGTGATTAAACAGTTCAAAATGGACTGTGCAAATATATCACATAGTTCTGATAACCTTCGTCATCTCATTCCATTATCTGAATTTACCAAACAGATTAAATATTTTAATAAATACCTGTTGACTTACAATATATTTATGAAAAAAAGATAATTTCTATTTCTTTCAATTAAAACTAACCTTAAAACAATGAAACGCTTCAAAAGCAATTTGTTTTTCTTTACTTTTCAACATGTTCATAATGACTTTGAGGTTTTCCGGATCTGCAATATATTTGGTCATTATTGAAATGTTATGCCGATCAAGAAGAAGTTCTCCCAATAACTGAGAACAAGGTCATTAAAAAATGGAAATACTTGAACTTTGCAATTCGACATGAACAATATAGAATTCATAATATAAAAGGAATAGAGCCAATTTTTGCACTGCAAATAGGTTACAGTTACTAAAACTTCTTTAAATAAAACATGACGATTAGAACACTCCTAGCACTCTTAGTAGTATACAAATGAGATGTTTGTATAATTAAATATGGACATGCCAAATAGACCTTTTTTAACTAATCAGTACTGAAGAACGGATCGAGAAGCTATTGAGTTTACTATGTAGCTTACTTTGTTTTGGTTATTTTTACATAGATCATGTTTCAACATATTATTGTCTTGGTTCGGATCAAGTCTAGTGAATTGAAGCAAGGAAAGAATAATTAGACCAATTGTTGATAATTCTTATGCGGATTGTCTCGCTATAGCCCTTACGGATCAAAACTAATAACCTTTAAGCAAGTGAGTGTTTATCTGAATTTATTAGCCAAGTGCAAAACGAGCTGGTGTTTAGAACAAACGGTACGGGATGAACATCGACTTCAGGATCCAATTGCATCCACTTGACGAGTCTCAAGCAGGAAGAGACACTAGATTTTACAGCTAGTTACATCTTATCTAAATCTACATCTCATCGAAAAGCATGCTGGTGACATCGATTTCAGTCAGTCAGTTGATTACAACACATAACTTTGTACGTAAGTACATCAGTTTGAGTTGCCATACTACATAAGCAGGAAGACATAATTGTCGAATCGAATGACATAGTATTAGAAGCAGAAGTATTAGTAGTAATCCAAAAGATCAATGATTGAATATGTATATCGAGATGTATGTCCCCGAGGAATCAGTTAAAAAAAGAGAAAAGGTCAGGAGGAATTTTAAAGATTTAGATTCGAGTTCACAAAGAATGGATGTACCTGCGCCATTGAGAACGATTTTGAGCCATGTCGTTTAGCGTCTCTAACCATCGATTACTATCATCTCACGGACCCCAACTAAGTAGTCTATATCTACTAACATGACTCAATCCACTTGTCAGTGACTTCATGGGCTTGTGCCGTGTTTTGGTTTCGCCTCCCCTAGCTTTCTTCCAACCTATTCAAACACTACAAAACATTGTTCGTCAAGTCAGTCGGCTGTTGAGAATACATAACACACGTCCCAACCACAACAACTGACGAAGTTTCATTACTTTGTAGTGGAACGCTTCTACGAAGAAAATACGATTTGTGAAAAATAAACATTATTGTACATCTTTTGTTTAACTGTACCAAAAACACTTCTCCGACTTCTTGCGCGCAACGTTCTCTTCACGTTGCTGCCATTTTTCTCCATTTGCTGCTCCCCATGTAATGCCAACGTTCTCCTTCAATAAAACCCCAGACCATGGATTTGTTCTAATATTCGTGACGCGACCGTATGGAATATTTAGTGGTGAGCATAGTTAATATGATATCTGGATTCGCTCACAACAATTTTATTTCTGGATTTGTCATCCATAACTAGTACTCGTTTCATAATGACATCACTGCTAATTGGTTGTATCAGGATACACGAGCAATGCTTCGAAGACATTTATAATGGAATACTAATAACCTACGAATATCCTCAACTCTTACTGGCTATGTTTCACATCCATATAGAAGGACGGAGCGAACTACTGCGCAGTGCACTTGTTCTTTGGTTAGCAGATGGGTATCTCGCCTATGCCATAAATGACGCAAGTTGGCAAAAGCCAATCGAGTCTTCTGTATCTGTGCTGAGATTTTGTCACACACTAGGCCATTAGCACTGATGAGACTGCCGAGATAAGTGAAGCGGTCGACACGCTCAACTACTTCACTCCCTATCACTAGTTCAGGTGCTGACGCAACCCCATCCTGAAGCAACCATTTGCGTTTCGGGCAGTGAAACCGCATCCCTAACATGCTTGCATTGTTGCTTAGGGTGGTCAAAAGACTGCATTTTGTCAGCGTCTTCACCAGGTGGAACTATGTGATTGGCATATTCTAAGTTAACTAGTGAATCTCCTGGTAGAAGGTCCACTTCTGAAAAGTCAGACGAGGATAAGGTTATTTCTAAGAGCATGTCTATGATAAAATTAAACAAGAATGGAGAGAGTGGACATCCCTGACGGACACCACTTGAAGTAAAGAATTCTGGTGACAGTTCGCCATAAGCTCTCGCCCGATCTGTAGTGTTCGAGTAGAGAGCTTGTATAAGGTTAATGTAATTCGTTGGTACACCTTACAATGACAGACACTGCCACAGAACCTCACGATCAACCGAGTCAAATTTCCAAGAGGACGTCATTGTCTCGTATATATAATTCACTGAACAGACAACAACGTATAATTCGGCACATATTCTGTAGCAAAATAAGGAGGGAGAAAACTAATATAGTAAACAGTGAGGATAAAGCTGGGAAAAGACACAGAACGATAACTTAAACTGAGTAAAAAGAACCAACCTTTAGTGCTTGCCTTTTTGTGACGTAATTATCTGATAAGATCATATGCATATAATGGTCAAAAAAGACATCATAATTAGTTGTTAGGAAATCTGCTACAAGAGCTTTGTGACGAGTAAGCAAATCCTTCAATGTAGCGAAAGCATCTGAGCTTACATCAAACGCTGTGCCTTGTACATGATCAAATAACTGATAAAATTCTGGTGAACGAAGAACAACTTTGGCTAAAGCTTCATGTCGACATGCATCTCGAAGCATCTAGTTATAACGAAGAAAGGAAGAGACTATAGGTGATATACAAGAACACACATCATGAAACTGAAACACAAAACGCATACTAAATATTTTCAAAAATCTGCGTTTGCACATACATGAGTATTTTTAAAACTTTCTACTAATTGAAATCAAAAACAAAAAAAGAACAACTGGCAGCTGACCGCAAAAGGATGAAAGAGACAAATGAAATGTATTATATATATATATATAACGCCTGCTGCCCTCCATGGAGAATAGGCCGCCGACCAGCATTCTTCGACCAATTCTGTCCGCGGCTCTCCTTTCCCGTTGTTCCCAATTCCTACTTATTCTTTTCATGTTTGTCTCTAAATGTGTTCTTGGTCTACCTATTTTCCTTTAGAAATGAGGATCCCAAGTTAAGACTTACCTTGTGGTACAATTGAGTACTTTCTGCAATGTTTCTTATCCACCTCCAGAGCTTTTTCCTAATTTTTTCTTCAGTTGGAAGCTGGTTTGTTATTTTCAATAACACGTTGTTGCTGATGGCATCTTGCCAATGACTCTGAGGTATTTTACGTAGACAACTTTCAGTAAACACCTGCATCTTAGCGTGCAGCATCTGTGCAATTACTTCTATATCTGAATTGTTTGGTTCCACCGCTTCAACACTCTTGATTTGTCTGATGACCGTGCTGGTTTCTTCAATAGTTGGTGGGTCAACGTCATTTGAGGTCCGCAGGTGCTACTTCAATGTTTGGTGGGTTCAGTGGGGCTGGTCAATCTTGCTGTTGTTGAATGTCAGTGATTGCTTGTTCTTTACTGTTCTTCCTGGTTTACTATATTTTCCAGTGAGCTACTTTGTTGTATCGTACACTCGTCTCACATTTCCTTCTCCTGAAGCTTTTTCTGCTATCATCGCTAGATTTTTTACAGATTTACGTTTATCATCTTTAATGCTTCGATTTACTTGCTCGTTTACCTCTGTGCATTGAATTTTCCTGCTTTTGTTCGGCTGCTACTGACTGATGTCTTTTTCTTCTTTTCTTGAATATTATCCAACATATCAACGGAGATCCATTCATTGTTATTCCCTTTCTTTGTCTTGGAGGATTTTTTGATGATCCTAGGTTTGTGATATCCACATACTTTAAGTGGTTTGTGCTTATTTGGTCAGAATCAGTGCAACTCCTTTTTTCATTCACGGCCGGAGTACAACAGCATCTCTCCAGAAGCTTACCTTTTTAGTCCAGCCTGCGTTCAATGCGTTTCACTTATTCAAAGAACCTTTGTCATCACTGTTTTTTTAAATGATCCTTCCAGGTTATCGGCCTCGTGACTCTTGAAGAAACTTAGTTTTCATCAAGAGGCGTCATAACTCCTCTAAATAAAAACTTTTCAACTCCCAGGGAAAAGTTCAAGTAGTTAAATTATTCTTTCTGGTCAGAGTGTTTTTAGCAACTTTTTTACAGAAAGGGGTTATTAACCACATACCCAAGCCTCCTCCTTTACTCGGCTCCAGTAGGATAGTGTAGAAATAGTGAGGAAGAACAAAGAATTTTCCATTTCATTATCTTTACAGCTTCTCTGTTGTAGATTCTAGCCAACACCTACCTTTTTAAGGTGACCTGTTGGTATAATTAACCAATAAACAATGTATCTTGACGCAGAGTACACCAACTTGTATTTAGGAAATGTTCTAGACCTTAATACAAGTAAAATGACTTGACTGCTTTCTACATATTTGATCACAGCACAACACTGATGTGCACAGCTAGCGGGTGCCCAAGCCTTATTAATATTCTCAACAAACCTTTTACACAACTCTATACCACGAATTCTATGCAGGCTTTATTAACAAAAAGAAATAGTACAGACGTGCATCAGTTCATTGCCACACAACATCAGCACAATGAGTTGAAATTGTCAGTTCAAATAACATTTTGAGCCATGTCATTTACAGTCTCTAAACACCCGTTACTAATATCTCGTGGACCCCAACCAGGTGGTCTACACCCAATAGCATGTCTTAGTCTATTTGTCAGTGTCTTCATAGATTTGTGCCATGTTTTGTACTTGGCCGTCTCCAGCTTTCGTCCGGCCTACACACGCCTACACCAGACATAGCTCATCGAGGGAGTCAGTGGTTCGGCATACTGTCTCAACCACCTCAACTGATGAAGATTCACTACTTCATCAACTGACATGCTATCCTTACCTAGTACCTGTTTTCTAACCACAGCATTGCTTACTCGATGGTCCTAGGATGTATGAGAAATGCTTCAAAGACATCTATGACCGAATACTAGTAACTTACAAATATCCTTTACTCTTACTGGCCGTTTTGCACCTGTAGAAATAGATATTAGATTTGGTTGCTGCAAAAAAGTTATCTATCTATTAGTAATTGGACATAGGACTTCTGAGCCTTTTATTATTAAAACTTATTCAGCTATTACGATATAAGTGGTAACACAAAGTAAAAAGTCAACCGTGAATTGCATGGAAAAATACAAATGACGTGAGGGAGAAACAAAATCGTGCTAGGAATACAAAATCAACAGTAATATCGCTGGGTCGAAAAATATAAGGTCTAATTAGGGTGACTACATCTGTTTTCTATCTTTACTGTTTTGTGGCACGGACCGTTAATTTATGTAACCTGGCTTTAAAATGATAGACATGGTACTGGTGTATATATTTAATATATTGAACTTAATTTTTCAATTTTTATCACACAATCCCAATCGATTTTGGACACTATGTTCGAACCCGACCGTAGCTGCTACCTTGACGTGGTGGTCGGGCTTGCCTATCGTGATGACCCAACCGAGCTATACTGGCTGGAACATATGTTCCTCAAGGTTCTACCATGCCAGGCAGGTCGATTGGAGAACGATGAGACTAAAAGCAGCTACCCAAGGTCTGAGGGCGAAGTCGTACTGCTGACTGCAGAGGGGTGTGACAGCAGTAAGGTGTTTCCCTCGGACAACCAGCATCTGCAGCGATGCTGCCTTCTCACAAGGAAGGAAGGGTTAGAAAAGGTCGGCCCTAAAAATGTCACACCTCCCCTAACTCACGGATTTCCGTCTCCTTGGGTAAGGGTGCCCACTAAGGGCCTTTAAGAACGGAGCTAATCCTCAAAAAACATTTGATAAAAAGGCCATGCGTGACTGGCCTCAAGCAGTTGTCCCTTGGACTCTGCGGTCACGCACCAACACTAATCTATCTTCCTTTTCAGGTTCCTCAAATAACAACCTTCCACGGTGTGGGCAGCCGGGAAGTGACAACCGCCCTCATACCCATAACAGCACCAGAGACCGAATTGGTCAAAATCAAATCCTTCCTACACCCCCTAGTACCTCTCTTATCTCCACGACTAACTCTTCTCACATTCATTCATCACAGTGTACAGCTAATGCAGACGACACGAGTTCGCGAAACGTCGTTCCTGGTCTCCTTAAACCTCGCTCTAGACTACATGTTGGAGCATTCAATGTACGGACATTGTGTCAAATAGGGCAACAGGCTTCCTTAGCTAGGACTTTAGAATCTCGTGCCATCGATGTATGCTGCGTCTCGGAAACGTGCATACAGGATCCGAGTCACGTCATACACTTGACCACACCATGTCAAAATAAAGAAGCAGCTCGATTTACTCTTCGTGTATCCGGTAGCCCTGATGCTGCTTCCAGGGGTCTTGCTGGCGTAGGCATAGCATTGAGTCGTAGGGCAGAATTATCTCTCCTTGACTGGATCCCTGTAGATAGTCGATTGTGCGCTGTCCGACTAAATGGGACAGTAAGGACTCGGAAAGATAGGGAAAATCGCCGTTGCCTCTTCGTCGTATCTGCCTATGCCCCCACTGAATGCAGTTCAGACGAGGTTAAGGATGAGTTTTACAGAAAGCTTTCGGACCTCCTCCAAAAAGCTAGGCGCT